ATGCATAATGTCACATTCTGCATTATGCTGCATTATGTAATGCAGAGCCAAAAAAATATGCATTCGTACATCTCTAATTACACTACTTATCTTATTATCATTTGAGTTTTTGAAAATATGAATTGCCTTAGCTCCTGTTTTTTTGATTTGTCTCCATAAGAGTACTTTATTCATATTTGCAGGAAGTTCTAGAAGTCTTTTACTATATCTACTTTTTGCAAGGATGGTAAATAACTTTAAATGACTCAAATGACCCAAATAACTAGTGACTAGTCATTAGTCATTTTCAAACCTAAATGACCTGTTAAGGTTATTTAACATTTGTTAAATAATAATTTAATACTTTGTAACTAATCAGAATACAACAGAATACTTCTATACTTTCTTTTTTTTATTTAACCTTCTTTAAAACTATATATTTAAGAATTCACTATGAAGCACTACTTAAAATGATTGAATATACCTCTTTATTATAATATATTTCTAAAATGTCTCAAACTACTAACTTTACAGTCTAACAAACAATAAATTATATAAAGTTACATAGGGCGTTTGCAAATATCAACTTAGATGTGATTAGCTAGTGATCGTAATCATGCATAACCATTTTTATCTTTACAAATATGTAAATTATGATGTAATTGAAGTTTGCTCAAGCATCGTCATTAATTAAAATAGAAATTGTAATCAATATTTTGAGCAGTTTTTTATTAATCTCTATTATTTATCATATTACTGCCAAAAACAAAAAGTAGTCTAATACAAAAAAACAGATAGTACTACTGTACTCTTCGAATACAATCTAGTGAAGCATCAACTTCAGCTGCTTCTATTACTCTTACCATTAGTTAAGTATGAAAAAATGTTAACTCAGAATTCACTAATTTTATATCTTCATTTATGTTAGGTTTTTGAATCTAACGAAGAAATTATTGATGAAATTATTGAAATTTGTCTTTAAGCTTCCTAATATTTTTATTTTCCTTAATATAAGTAATAAAATAACACTGAGAATGAAGATCTATAGTAAGTTAACTTGAGCAAACTCTATTAATACTCTATTAATAGTAAATTTTTCAAATCATGTATAAAAAAAGGATAATTTTTTGTAAAAAGTTTGTAAATTAAAATGATAATCTCTCTTAATCTTTTTACTAATAAAAATATTTCAATTGCATAATAAACTTTACTAAACTATGTATATTGTTTATATATTCATTATAATAATAAATGCAATTGACCTGCTAAAAATATTTTCGCTAAGTAAATTTTATTCTCTAATACTTTTGATCAATTGATTGAGGTGCAAAGGTAAATTTGATGTGTGTTTTTTTTTTTTTTTTTTTTTTTTATCAGCAATGTTTTAATTTTACTGAAAGGTAAAAGAAATAGGAGTCTCCAATGAATTATCAAATAATTCTGATAAATTCTATTTTGCTGATAGATCCTCTGCTGGATGAGTAATATATCTAGTCAGTTCGAATTCAAGTTCTTCATTACTTATAGCTTCCCCATTATCTAAACAATTTTCATCATTTAACATATCAATCCAATTCTCAATTACACATAACCAATTATCTTCGGCATCATTGACCTCTTCATCAGTTGTTTCATGAGTTTCATTTTGTTCAGCTAGTGGACTATTAGAAGTTGATAATCCTATTTCATCGTCACTTGTGGAATACAAAGATTCTGGTAATTTTAGCATTCTATTGTCTTCTTCATAAGGTTGAACAGGTGCCACAAGGTAAATTCGTCTATATAACAGTTTAGTCTTTTCAATTTCTACACATTTTCTTTTGCTTACTATATCACTATGCAATTGACTTATCGCTAGCACTTTTTCAAACTTAATTTAAATAGTTTAGATAAAATTTAATATTATGTATAACATACAAAATAAATAAATAAATAAAATATAAAATAAAATAAAAATACTAGTAAACGGTTTCGATTCTTCATATGTAAAAAGCCTATAGTTGACTATAATCATTCTACTGAAGCTGAATTAATGCATATACCAAATAGTTGTAATGCTAATTGAGATAATTTGGTGCTAAGCCTTTTGCCATTTCTCAAAAATCAATTATATTTTCATTAAACTGATTATATGTTTCTTTATTAAAAGGAAATTCTTCTCGTTAATATGATAAAAATTCATGCAAAATGCATGTTGGTATTTTTTCAAACTATGCGTAATAATAATAATTTAACCATTGAGCAAAATACGTATAAGAAAGACTAGAAGTATTTAAAGAAAATTTTAACAGCTGATATTTTAGGTATAAAATTACTGATAGCAAAAATAAAGGTTGCTCTCATTGAGCCCAACGCTTTTCTAAACACTCTACCATATGATTAAAAAAGTGTTCATCTTTATAGTTTTTAAAAACCTTAATAAGCTATCCAAAACAATATATGATTTTGTGTAGTTTTGCAACATCTTTCTGAAGTTTATTTAACATACCACACAAGAGAAATAACAGATCTTGAAGTTTATAGAGCTGATTCCAAAAATTATAGTTTTGTAGAATTAATATAATATCTTGTAGAAATGTCTTATTTATATCAGAATCTTCAGATACAAATCGTTGTCATGAAAGTCCACTTCATGAAGTACTAGTAGTCCCAATTCTTGAAAGTGAAAGTTTTGTAGCTAATGTCTAATAATATTTAATATATTTTATTTCTATTTTTAAAACATTAATAATAATAATAAATTTATATAGGATATTTATTAATATACTTTATTATTACATACTTTAAGAGCTGCTTCAGTCTTTAAAACTGAATGAAAGCAGAAATAATAACTATTCTACTGTGTTTTAGCTGGAGTAATAAGTAAAATAGTTTGTCTATAACACGATATTTGTTCACTTTATAATAAACTAGTAAAATATGTAGATGAATGAAAAAAACCTACAACTCGTATTACATTTTTTGATATTTTTTTGTATATATCAGACTCTTTAAAAATATCACCTATAACTAAATTGACTTGGTGTACTATATAAGGCATAAAAATTTTGTCAGGATATTCAACTCTCAACTGTCGTCTATAAAAAAAAAAATTAATGAATTATTTTTAATATTTAAAGATATGATTATTTATACTTATAGTGTATCAGCATATTCACTAGCAGAATCTGATATATAGCAGTTGACTTTTATGCCTTTTTCTTCAGCATTATTCATAATATTTTTAATGAGTTGTTTTGCATTTTCAGTTTTTGATTATTGACCACTGATATCATATGCATCCCAGATCAAAGATTTGCCCTAAGAAGTTATCAAAACTATACCAGAAAGATGCTCCTGTTTAATGTTTGTTCAGCTATCAAAAGCTGTAATTACTCTGATCTTATCTGCACGCATATGTTATAAAATTTCTTTATTTAAATTTACAGAAATCTTTGGAAGGATTCAATCGCTTATTGCACGACAATTAGGTAGCTTTAAACTTGATATAACAAAATTAAAAATATCTCGTGTTTTCTGATTCTCCAGAAAAGTAAAAGCAAGACCATTTGATATGATCATACATAATACCAAGTTTTCAAAATGCAATTTATCCTTATCAGATAGTGGATGCATAACATAATTAGCAAGTATTGTTTGCCTTTTAATATTTGAAGTAGATTTGTCTGTTGAAGTAGGCAAGTTGGTTATTAAAATCTCATAAAGTTCATCATCATCAGACTTAGAATCAGCTTCAGCTGTTATAATTTATTAGAATGTAACTATTTTAATATATAAACAATTGTTTTAACTAATAGTATGATTATCTTTTTCATCTTTCTTTTTAATATCTTCTGGAACTGGTCGTGCAAGAATCTCCAAAATTTCATCTTCGTTATAATCTGATTTAAAATTTTTACAATTTCGAAGATAGCTTCGGCATAACTTTGCCTTATTAGAAACAAAGCACTCAGGGTTTGTAAGGGCAATTGGTAAAGTATGTTTTAGTATATATGAAAGGCATATTGCCTTTTTATTTGCTTTTGGGTTATCAGAAGCAACCAAATGAAAAAATTCTCTAAAATTAGTTTTTTTTACTCATCGTAACATTTGGCTTGAAAAAAAAAATAGCTACCTATTTATTATTATAAATATTTGTATAAGGTGTATAAACATTTATATTATCTCTTTTCACAAGTATCTATGGTGAATCTTCATTAAACAAGTATCACTTCATTGAATGATTATCCATTTACTGCTCATTAGGTAATGCTTTTTTTTTTTTTTTTTTTTTTTTTATAGTATTACTATTTTAATTCTTTAATTTTTAATTTATTCACAATATTATGCCTACATCTACTTAAAGATATGATAATATAATGAAAATCCCAATGTCATTCTGTTATAACATAAGAAAAAAATTTCCTGATTGTTCTAACTCTGAGATTTTATATACTTTTTTTTCGTATTATTAATTTAATTCTTTTAATATTCGATATATAATTTCATGAGCTTATCAACAACTCTTTTCATCGATCCTCTGACCACTTTTTTTACAATAATCTGACCTGTGAAAAATTTTTTCTGCTATAACAGATAACAATATTCTTCTCTTTGTACTTTCTACAACGTATTGTTAGTAAATAACTCCTTTATATGAGCTCTTTTTAGTCGTGTTATATAGATATAACTCCCAGACACTATAAAAAAGTAGTGGATTACAAGAAAAATTGTCAAATACCTCTGTTGTTCTAAGTGATGCTCACTAGTAGTTTGCTAGTACAGGGATAGCTAGTACAACAAGTATTTGTACTGTTTTTAGTAAGAAAATAAGTAGCAAAATCTTCCTCTCCTAGAAGTAGCCTCCTCTGATATCATCTTTTGAATTTTTTCTATAACTTATTGGTGTTTTTTGGAAATTTAGCTTACTCCTTCCAAAAAATCTGCAACACACATCGACAAAAACAATTGGATATTAGCCTGTTGTTTCCCATGCTGTAAATAAACAACAAACATATGTTTAACCAAACACATGCTATAGAAAATCTGAGTTGTTAACATTCTCTCTGTAATATGGTATATTGCTCCTTTGAGAATTTAAAGAATAGCTTAAGTATTATATATACACAATTTTTATACTGTTCTGAGAAGAACATTATTTTCTTTTTATTTCTGTTTTTGTTGTTTAAAAGTTTTTACCTGTTAGCAGGTTTCCTTTATTCAACTATATTATATAATACATAACCTTATATCTTTTATTATATATATAATTTTTATTTTCTCTCTTCGTGGCCTACTCACCTTGGATCAGTTTAGTACAGAGTAGAAGGTAACCAAAAGGTTCTTGACTAGGCTGTCAGCAGACCATCAAAGAATTAGATTGTTTTGTATATTGAGCATGAACTTTTTGAGAAGTAAACTTGCTGGTAAGTCGATCATACTTAGGGCTATATGGGTATATGAATAAGTCTGGAATTGTAATAATTATTCACTAGGTATATTTAGTTGAGCTCATTTATATTAGTGATAGTTACTTGTATTATAATATAAGAGTAAAGTCTTTTACATATTTAGTTTAGCTTTCGTGTTTACATATATAGTTTAGCTTTATATATTTATATTGTAATTAGTATTAAATAATAATAAAATAAAGGGCAAAATCCTCTTGTAGAGAAAAAAAATAAAAAATAAAGCTTCTTTAAATGA